AAAAAGAGAAAAAGCCCAGCCACTCCATTTTCAGTGTCTTGGATGCCCAGTTGTACTGTACTGAAAACTAGGTTGCATGTAGATTCTCTTAATTAATAATTAATAATAAAAATCTCTTTTAAAAATAAATTTATGCTTGTTCTTAGAAATTTGTGCTTTGAAAGTTTCCAGATGTGCCAACAGGTGTCTGTTTTCATGACATTTTTCATTTGAAGATAATTACTTCCCCTGTTAAAATATTTTTCCATGCATGCTTACAAGGCTCTGTTTATGTTGCTTTTCATAGTTGCAGCTCTTAGAAAAGTCTAATTTACAATTACACCCATCAAGTATGCCAAGGAAATGATTGTATTCATCCTTCCAGGTTTGCAGAAGACCATAGTATTTCCTTGAATGTATTTCTGTAGGCTGCTGTATAAATGAGAAGACTTGAAGAGGAATTTAAAAGTATTGCCAAAGGTTATGTGTCAGGGTAATAACAGAGAACAGTCCAGCTCTTTCTTTTTACTTAATTCACAGCCAACACAAATACTTGCTCCTGTTTAGACTGTAAACTCTTTGAGCCAAGAGTTGTGCTTTTACTACCTTTTTCTGAAGCCTAGGCACCAGTGGAAAAAGAGTTGTCTTGTCAGCTTTCTTTTGGCAGATCTGAAACTCTTGTTTCTGTAACAGGCTCTAGTAGTCAAAGAGGAGGATTAACTTTTGTGGAGGAGCTAATAGCATCTTGTTGAATACAGTGTGTCACTCTGGAATGCCAGAAATTCGCATCTTGCTTTATCTGAAGATCTTGGTCATAAAAAACTGCACATCAGATGCAGGACAAAGTATGGATGTCCTGTGCTAGGCAAATTGAAGTAAATAGGAAGACACTCGAGGCTATGCAGCATGGGCATGCTCTCTTCGGACTGAGATCACTTTTGGAGAAGGGTGAGAATATGAAAAATGTAAAAGGTGTAGGTAGTGATGGAAGCTTTTTGCATATCTGAGGAAGAGATACTTCTTGAATGATCTGTACATTATTTTTTTCCTAATGTTTATTTTTGTGATAGGAATGGAATATTGGTTAAAGAAGCGTTGTCATTTAATTGTTAGAAACAGTTGTCTGTAAATTTCCTTCAGCCTGTTCTTGCATTTTTGCCTTAGAAGTTGTCATTTTATTGCTGTTGAAAATGGTGTGAATGTGAGTAGTAGTACATTATTTCTGGTTATACAGGAGGTTAAAGCTAGAGTCTTGAGGTGGGCAAACAGTGCATGCTCTGAAATCTGTTTGTGAGAAATACATTTGAAGGTAATTGGCTCTGGAGCCAATGTTTGCTGATGTGCATAGTTCTGTCTCTAATTGGGAGAGGTATGGGGTGTCCAGTCAATAGTGTCAATCAGTGTGGAGACGTGGTTGCCCCTGAGCAAGCCTGCTTTGTATTCCCCCCTCGTGCTCTCCCAGCGGCTGTGTGAGACCTGCCCCAGGGCTGTTTACTCTGTGGCTCTAGGACAGAATCATAATTTTGGTGACTAATAGCCAGAGCATGTCCCCCCCCCCCCCCGGCTGGCGGCAGGCTCGCCCCTGCTTATGAATGTAGTTAGGTGGCCCCCAACTGTTTACAAGACAGCAGAGGTGAGATCTTTGATTGACAAGTCAGAAATGCATTAGATCATTCCCTCTGCCAGTCTCTGGTTCATGCTGTTAAAAATGTCAGCCTCTCCAAGTTTGAATGGCAGCCCGAGGGCCTCAGAAGCTTTTTGTTTTCTGAGATGGAAACACAAATTGGATGTGTGCCTGAGCGCTTCATCCTGGGCTGTAATTTCATCTTTTAGCTAAGAACCACAAGGTACATGAGCAAAGCACCCTGTAAACAATAATACTGGGGAAAAAAATAAACAAGGTCGTGTTTCTGGTACGTTGATCCACTGGTGTCCTGACCTCTATCACGTTGAACATCTCCACTCTGATTGCTGTTCCCTTTGGCATTACAATGAGAGGAGAGAGACTGACACAGGAGGCAAAGATTTAAAGTTGCAGTGCTGTTGCACATTCCTTGTATTGGCTATGAAATATTGAACTGCCACAATGTGACACCTGTTTTTTTTTAAAGCAAAGTTTCTTGTTGGAGGTGTTCAGCAGCAGTTTCTCCTGTTTTTCCTCCTTTTACCACCTGGCAGGAGCAATTATAAAGGCATGAGAGGTGATACAAGAAGAAGCAATGAAGCCAATTGCATAATTTTTGCATTTTACTCCAGCCCCAGCTGTAGCTGAGACTTTTGGGAGCTTCAGTGTAGAAGGACCAACAGAGTTAGCCTAGCTGGGAGTTTCTTTAAATAAAGGAACTGTCCCAGTGACTACAGAT